CCATAACACAAGAGGCCACCACCCACGAGGCACCCGTCACACGCGAGGATGTTTTACATCCTTGGCTTCGGGAACAAAAAAAAAACAATAACTATATTCAGAATAATTTTAAAATATATTTTTTTTTCTACAATTGAGGATTCAAATTTGATAACAGACATTTTTTAACACCTGCAGCTTAATATCATAAGAATGATTATTACATGTTTTGTGTTATTATGAATTAATTTAGTAATGGTCGGACGGGGAGAATCTGCTTGTCATTGGATTTAGTTTATTAACTCTAAAGTATAATATAATATATAATATACACGTACAATATAAATTAATTCGAAATAACATCTATTAACATAAATTAATCCGTTACTTAAAAAATAATAATCTAAAACTAATGGTGATTTGGGTAACAATATACAGGCTCGTTGTGAACCAGCTTTGTCGAATGATGAAATAAATAATATTCAATAATGTCACGAGCTCGGTCGGTATCACAGCTACGGGAGGCTGCGCTGTTCAACAGCAACGCATAACTGCGCCCGACCTGCAGCGCCTGACGCGTGTAGCATCCAGTGACTTCATAAACAATAATTTAAAGAGAATTTATTCTCCTAATACTGCAATGAGCTTTAAAAATTATGCAATTTACTTTCAAAACCGTGGTTTTCATTACTGATGAGGACATTTCCCCTGGCTTGAATTAAGTATCGTAACTGGAAGGAATTGAATTACTTATTCATGATGGAATATTCGGGGTTTTCCTACAAACAAGACCGCTTCTCAATTATAAATCACGCAATGTTGCCTGAGTGGTAAACTCAGAGACTAGAATAGCGATATGAAGCACAATTATGAACTTAAAGTTCCATGCATTTACCTAAGGCCCTCAATTCGTGCCACGCATATACATGAGTTTCTCCTCGAAACGTTTTTTTCTTCAACTAAAATTTCCCAAATCATATGTAAGCCTCTTTATCACAATTATAATTGACGTTTGGAGTTTATAAGCTCCTTTGGCATGAAATTTACGATCAAATGTCTTTATTTAGAAATGTATTAATTATGTAATTTTGTAGAAATGTAAAGTTAGTTAAGACCTGGGCGAAGCTTCCATGCACTTGTGAATGTTTTATAACTTGAATAAACATTTTAATCATGAGGAGTTATCCATAAGCTTAGTCAGTTGTACCATTGGCTTATCATTCTCTGTTATTTAAGCGATTTGGTATACGGTGCGCTTGGGGAGCGATTCTGCCTACATGAGAACAGCTAAATTTTATTCTTGCGTTACCGCTGAACAATATCAAACTATATTGCATATAATAACGGTAGATATTGATGAACTTTCCCAATATTACTATTCATTTCACAAAGTCATATTTCTGAGAATCATGATTCATGAATTTTAATCCATCAATAATGAACTGAAATCATAACTTCCGTAAATATTGAAACGTAAGAAATAATATTTTTAAAACGACCATGGGTTACCAGATACCTATGAGCAATTATTAATTATGAAATAAATATAATCCAAAGTAATTTATGCGGCTCGTACGAGTCTGTACACGAAGTATAACTTAGGATACAACATTCAACCGAAAAGGATGGCATTGAGACTCGGTCGGAGCGTGTCAATATCAATTTGCAGGTGATACGAATGTTTTCATCCTTTAAAACCTTTAATAAATAGTTGAAGCTGTTTCATAATCGTTTCCAAATTTGTCTGCAAATCTCAGGCACAATGCATGGCGATCACCGCCGGGTTATGCAGCGGATAGTTTGGGTTGCCCCCCCTGATCTCTGGTCCAGTGCGCGGCGATGAGAGCATCGGCATCCGATACCGGGCGGCATTATATCGTTGCTGCTCTTCGCTGCCGGAGGAAAATAAGGAAATTGCTCGTCCAATTTACACTGAAATTGCACTTTTTCAATAATTTTATAAGCACATTGAAGTTGAGGTTAAGATATTGTACACTCTAATTTTTATAACTGATTCCTAATTTTTGTGTTTGGAATTCCTACTTGGCTTAAAATGGAGTATAAAAAATAATATCAACTAAATTAAAACGCAAAATCCTTGCACTAAGAAAATTGAGGGATAAACTATTAATAGTGATTCACAGTTTGCCTTATATAAAGTGGGTCAACGTGACCCAGTTTGGCCCCGCAAAAGGGCGTAAAACCGAAGCTCTAAAACCAAAATCATTTACACTTCTCTCACTTTTTTAATCATTTAGTTATTCACAAATAACTAACAATTATTTTTTTAACCAATGTAAGCTACATATAAGTTCTATATTCTTATTACTTTAGCATGCATAGAAGTTACAAATTGCAACAAAATAAATATAAAAATTTAAGATTTGTACACTTCAATATGTTGAGAGACTTTTCGGTGATGAGAATTTTTTAAAATTAACTTCTTTAAGTAAAATCAATATATATAAATCGAATTAAATCAGTTTAATTTGACGATAGATGTCCAGATCCTCGCTGTTGCCAAGTTTATCGATGTGACGGCCATTGATGTGACATGTGGGTCAGGATGACCCACCCGGGGGTTACAAGGACATCGTTCAATTAATATTATCATTTTACCTTCACTTAAGCTCTCTCGCTAATTGAATTAATAACTAGTTATTGTGGAAAAAGATTTTCTAAAGAAACGCGCCTAAAGCTTTATCAGTTTGATTATCAAGTCGATAGATAAGACGGCTGAGCTGGGCAGTAAAGAAGAGCTGAGCTGGGCTGTAATAAAGAACTCAATAATATATTTTTACCGCCAAAATATGTCCAATCTAATGAAAAAAGTCAAAACAATTATTCAATTGTATAAATATATATATTTTTGGTTGATGACTGAACGTCAAACTGCAAATCTCTACTCTTTATTATTAACTTGATAACTCTTTTTTTAGCTTCATCATTAACTTGATACTGTCAAATTATATATTACTAAATAGTTGCTTAACTCTTGAAACAGTCAATTTTGAAACTCTTTAAAATCTTTACTAAAATATAGATCACCCCGTAACTTCACACCCAGTACCGATTCTTCACGCTACACCGAAAATATTACAAAAAATATAATTTTTAGAAACAATTTCTAATAACTTCCAAACAGCATAATAAATTCCCAACAGCCCAACATCAAACATAAACAACATCCAAACTTCTAAACAACATCCAAACTTCTAAACAACATCCCAACTTCTAAACAACATCCAAACTTCTAAACAACATCCCAACTTCTAAACAACATCCCAACTTCTAAACAACATCCCAACTTCTAAACAACATCCCAACTTCCAAACAACATCCAAACTTCGAAACAACATCCCAACTTCTCAACAACATCCCAACTATCAACCAACATCCTCACTTCTAAACAACATCCCAACTTCCAAACAACATCCCAACTTCCAAACAACATCCCAACTACCAACCTCCTAATTTTGAATCAATTTCCTACCGTAAACTCGGTGCCGCCTAACTCATTTTAATGGCGCTCACTAAGTCTAAGCGGGAGGCAGGGAACGTGAGCTTTAGTGCCGTCGATTTTATTAAACTCTTGCAAATTGCGAGCTCCTGAGCTGCGTAATTTATGAAGGGGGAGACTAGGCGTCGCCTCGCAACTCGATATTTCCTGAGGAGAACATTCCCGAATTTCCGAGCATAAATTTGGGGTGACAATTTGCGAGGCGAAGATTAACGACGAGGTTGCATTTATTCGATGCCCGAGATCTGGTGAGAGAAATTATCATTGGTATGTAAAAGTGGGAGCTTAAATTGTCATGTTTTTGTGTCATCAGGTTAAGTCAGTAAGTATTGCTTGCCTAGGTTAGGTAAGGTTAGCGTTCGGTCAAATTTTATTTGTTTAAGTTAGCTTTTTTTTAGAACAGATGAGGTTTGTTCAAAATTGATTGGGTGTGGTTAGGTTGGATTGAGTTTGTTTAGATTAGATTGTTTTTTTTAGGTTGGATTGGACTCGTTTAGGTTAGATTGGGTTTGTTTAGGTTAAATTTGCTTTGTTTGGGTTAGATTTTTTAGAACAGATTGGGTGTGTTTAGGTTGAATTGGATTTGACTAGGTCGGGTTAAGATTGTTTAAGTTAGGTTATGTTCTGATAAGTTTGTTCACGTTAGTTTAGGCTATGCTAGGTTACGTTTGTTTATTTTGAGTTAGGCTAGATAGGATTGGGTGCATTTAAGTTAGGTTGGAATAGGTTAGGTAAGGTTACGAACAGATAACAATGCCGAGTGAACAAATTAGAATTCTTGACTCACATATAAGTATTTATAACAGTATTAATTCCTGTTGAACAGGTTGTTCAATTGCCGGTTTGGAGCGCCTTTCCTTTAATTGCGGCGCAGAATTGGCGGCAGTTCAACCATGCGTTTTATTGCCAAAATCCAAGAAAAATTACAATTCAGAATACCAGTAACTTTCAACACCTCAGAAAAGAAAGCGTAAGGATATATCTCCTATTATTTACCAACAACAACTATTTGAAGCATGAAATTTCACTAACTAGGTCACTCTATAGTCATACTCAATATGGCACTCAAGTTATCTCACTAGGCACTCAATTTAACACAACAGGGCACTCAATTCTATGCATATCAAGGATAAAAATGAGATAACAAAGCCAATTTCTCAATTATCTAATTGATAATTCTAAAGACGGAAATGATAGAACTAAATTGAATCGAACTGCATTTAGTTTTAAACTAGGAATTTGTTATCCCTTTTAACAACACCTGCATAATCCCAATCGCAAAAAGTAATTAAATATAAAATATATAAATAAAATAACTAACAGTTGAAAACAAAAACAGCTCATCGATTAATATAATCAAACATTTCAGTTTTCATCCAATAATGATATTCTTACCCAAAAAGAAAGCCGCGCTACAGCCGCGCATGACGCGGCATTCGTGCGGTCACGAGGCTGCGCTTTAAACTCGAATGTCCGCGCGCGATTTCCTGCGAGTTTTTCTTTACGGCGCCAGCGACGTAACTTCGTTTACGGTCGGGGGTGGGGCTTTACGGTCAGGAGGAGGGAGATTTACGGTCCGGGGGAAGAGATTACGGTCTAGCGAGGGCGAGTCATTCAGGGTCGGGGAAGGGGGAAGGCGTTTACCGTTAACACTCACCCGCATGTGTAACTGTGTTGCACCAGTGTAATAAAATCACAAGTACGGTGCCATTTTACGTGCATTGTAAAATACAAGCACTTATCTTGTGGAACATAACCTGCATTGCACTTACTTAGTGCTTAGAAATCGTTTGTGTTCTTATATGTGGGAATTAAAACTCAAATGATCTTATCGCATACGCTATATGAAAACCGTGCACTTTCCTCATGCAAATATTTAATTAATAAATTATTTAAATATTTTATTAATACACAATATAATTCGCCCAGTCGGATGTTCATCGGAGATTTGATGTTTTCAGATTTTCTTTAAATTTGAATTTTAAAATACAAATTCATATAAATTCGTATAAGAACTTATTTAGTGTGAATTTTCAGAAGTTTAAATTTTCAGAACTTTCAATTTTCAAAAGATTGAATTTTCTTTAAATTTTTAACCTTAAGTTGAATGGGAACTTTCTTATTGGCATGTTTTAAGAGGACCTTCTCTTATATAATTATTTCAATTAGAAAATGGGACTTAGCTTGTGGGGTTCGAGACCATGGAATTCGATGCAGTCTGATTAGGGTAAGCGTGTTAGTTTACCCCTATTAGTTTCTCAGAAAAAATTAGTCTCAGAAAAAATGTACCCAGAGGCGCGACAGCTTCTAGTTCGATAAATCAGAAGCTGATGCGGATCTAAAATCTGATTGTGTATTGGGTGTCATCGGTGTCATTGACATGAATAGCCGGTGATCATATATGAACAAATATATAATAAACATATATGACATAATATAAGATTATATATAAATTATAAAGATAAGATTCTTATTAACATAATATAAGATTATATATAAATTATCGGGGGTTATTTTTACATGTTGTTCAGAATTACCAGTATAAGGTGAAATTTACCATGCCAGTATTGTACGGTAAAAACATGTTAAATAAAATAGAGCAGTAAAAAACATAACGGATTAAAAATTTCTTGGCCGGCACGCCTTACTCCATAAATATCAGCAAATGATCAATGATCAGCGATAAATTCTCCATAAATATCAGCAAATGATCAATGATCAGCGATAAATTCTCCATAAATATCAGCAAATGATCAATGATCAGCGATAAATTCTCCATAAATATCAGCAAATGATCAATGAGCAGCGATAAATTCTCCATAAATATCAGCAAATGATCAATGAGCAGCGATAAATTCTCCATAAATATCAGCAAATGATCAATTAGGTCCGATGATATTCACCATCTGCCAGCAAATGATTAATTGGGGCGATTATATTGATAATTTACATGCTCATTAGGCAGGCGGTGCCGACGAAATTAAAGTTAATTTATTTGATCTCATAAAACATAGTAATTATATTAAATAATTATTCACAATTTCATAATACAGTAATTACTTTATTTAAGTTCTATAATCTGTTAGCAGGGACTTTTTAGTCGAAAGGTCTGAAAAAATTTCTAGATTGTCAGTGAATACGCTCACAATCATTGTGAATTCCGGGATGATGACGAGTTCTACGATGTTAATGAGTTCTACGATGTTAATGAGTTCTACGATGTTAATGAGTTCTACGATGATAATGAGTTCTACGGTTAATGAGTTCTACGATGTTAATGAGCTCTACGATGTTAATGAGTTCTACGATGATAATGAGTTCTACGATATTTATGAGTTATACGATATTTATGAGTTATACGATGTTAATTTAATGAGTTAATGAGTTCTCCGATGCTCATGAGCTCTAAGATGCTACTCAGATAACGAGGGCATTTGACCCTCATTAAGCATATCTTTCTCAATTAAATAGTTCACCAGCGTAATATTGAGAGTTAAGTCATGAAGTTAAGTAGTTAAAGGTTAAGTTTAAGATCCACCGGCCCAGGCTCAGGCCGTAAGTCTTCTGAGGTTAAATTAACTAAATGATTGACAGGAGTGATATTTTTATAGATTAAATTACATGGAAAATGCGCTCGATGCATAACATGGTAGCCACTTCAAAGACTGCTTCTGCCTGCTGGCCGATATAAAAAAATATTATATAGATTTTATCGAGATTTTTGAAATGTATCATTTCTTTCGGTCGCATATCCCAAATTCGACAAGGGATAAGCGAATGCTGAATAAATATTTATTGAATTAATAAAGAATTATAATCTAGATATTTAAATAAATAAGTATTCGATTACTTTATTCATATATGTGCATCATAAATATATTTATATACCATATAATCTACATATTTAAATAAACATGTACTCGATTTTCTTACATGTTCCGACATCAACCACTTCACTGCAGCAACGTCGCATGCACCACTCAAGAAAATGATGGGTCATATTGTCCGAATAGTGGGACACACTTTCTTACCCAACGCGATAGCAGAGAACGGATACGCCCTCTCACCGTGCCAAACTGGGTCAGGATGACCCACACAATGGTAAGTAGTGCATAGTAATTTTGACAAAGTCTGACTTATTTCTCTGAGTGATGAAATAGAATCTAGATTTTCATTTGTCAACTCTGATTGAATTTAGTTTTTTTTATTCCACGATGAGGTAACTTAATGAACTGGCTTCGCTATGATGTAATTGAAATTAGACCGATGAATTTGTTTATATATTTTTATTTCCATTCATCGGGATTCATTTCGGTATTTTCGCACTCAGTACGAATTTGAAAGAAATAGAACGAGGAGATTTTTTCGCACAATTACAAAGCAATAATATTACACAATTGAAATACATTACATTTACTGCAAAATATTAAAAAATAAAATAAAAAAATATCTCCTGCTCATAAAAGTACTCATAAAAATTACTCATAAAATAAACACCTCCTGCAACACGGACCTGCAGTCATAAAAATAAACACCTCCTGCAACATGGACCTGCACTCATAAAAATAAACACCTCCTGCAACATGGACCTGCACTCATAAAAATAAACACCTCCTGCAACACGGACCCGCACTCATAAAAATAAACACCTCCTGCAACACGGACCTGCACTCATAAAAATAAACACCTCCTGCAACACGGACGCCGTTCCTGTAACTTTTCATCTTATGGTCGCAGCAACAAAAGTTCGGAGCGAAAACCTCATAAAGTTTGTAAGTTCTTCGCAATTTGTGGCGGTCCGAATATGGAGATGGGGCTCCGTATGAAATGTTTCTCACGCCCGTATTATTATTGGGCGGGAACATATTGCTTTGTGTGTACTCAGGGAAACAAATTTGTCATATTGTCCTAATTTTTATATATATCAGATAAATATATGTTGTCCAAATTTTGACATAGTTTCTAAACCACAGCACGAGGTTGTGAGCGAACGTAACTTTGCTATGAGGTTTTAAAAAAGACTAAACTGGGTCAGGATAAAACACACAGGGGCAAAAAGTGCTTCGATATTCGGACAAAGCACCACTTATTCCTCTGAGAGCGCGCAGGATATACGGCTGCTTGGTGCCGTATAAACCACGAATTTCACGACTCGAACTTGCGGCCAATCTTCACACGGAGGAAAATATACGGCGAGTTGCGTTTAAATTTGCATTGCGTATTCACAAGACAGGATCTCTGTCATTCTTTGATAATACATGTATGTATGTATGTATGTATGAGCAATGAGCTGACAGACGATGCATGTACACTCAGGAGAGTGAGCTGGTCATATTGTCCTGGGAGTGACGCTGATAATATGAGCAATGAGCTGACAGACGATGCATGTACACTCAGGAGAGTGAGTGGGTCATATTGTCCTGGGAGTGAAGCGTGAGTTAATGAACACAACGAGTGTTCAATTACTCAACATTTTTATAATTTCTGATTTGAAGTCTAACTTATAAATATACTCCCGAATTGTTAACTTGATTTGTACACATATAAATAATTAAGTTTTTATTGATATTCACATCATCATGTTATTTTTGAACATCCGAGATATCGGATTAATTTTTAGGAATACGAATAATCTAGATTATATTGAAACACCCAAATTATTTTTTAATAAAGAGCGATCCGAATTGTATAATTCTTTATTCTTTATTCTTTCACACACAGAAGCAACACAGCACGACTCAATAGAAAGAGAAAAATAAACATTCTATTTAGAAATAAATGCTTCCAGGTGAAAGGCCTATAAAAGCTATAAAAAAGCTTCGCAGGCGTAATAGGTTACGAGTATGAACATAATAGTGGCAACAAGTACAAAAAAAAATAATACAAATATTACATTCCAAAGTAAAGGCAGTACATAAGTAAATTGTCACAAGAAAAAAAACTATAAGATAAACAACGTTAAATTAATATTGAGCAAGAATATGATCACGAAATATTGCCTTTAAAATGGATTTGGAACAGTTTATTCTGAAGTCATCAGGCAGTTCATTAAAATGTTTTACACAATTAAAAACAGTACCATTTTTCTCTATTTCTAAACGGACCGGTGGAAGGTTGAGACGAACGCCTCTGGTATCATGGAAATGATGAGGAACAAGAGGAGCAAAAAAACTTTCAAAAAGACGCTGATCATGAAAAAAGTGCCCTATTCATAAACTGTAAAAGCTTAAATTTGTACATGTCGTCGAATTTCAGGATTTTTGACTGTCTATATAATTCAGTAGTACGAATCAATGGTACATAGTTAACATATCGAACCTTAAGGATTGACCGCAGTGTCCTGTTCATCAACGTGATAACCGTTTTTTTGTACAGATAGGCACTCCACCCCATATAACAAGGGTATTAGAAAATTTAGATAAAAACAACGAATAGAAGAGCGTTCTTAACGAGGAGAAAGGCAAGACACTTGATAGAGCATGTAGCACTCCATGGGCTTTGCTAAGTCCCTGGCAAACGGAAGACAGAGTCACGCATTTTGTTCGTACCAAATGGTACGAACCAATCTTGAATAATAGCTAATTGATCGCGTCACCTCAAAGTTCGGATGGTCTAATTGTCACGTCCACCAATGACCGGAAATTAAATTCAACTTCCCTATTGGTTTTATCAGCAAGAGCTTGGACTGAGCGGATAGTTACTCAAACAGACTTTCTTAAATTTATTTATTAAAGATAAACGGCAAATCGAAATTAAACAAATCAAACAGGTGCGGCATCAGAATTTAACGCTAACAATTTAAATGCGGAGGAAGCTAAAGTGCGAGGAGCAAAATGCGAGGAGAGAGCTGGAGCATTGAGATCTGAGAAAACGCACGATCCTACAACAGAAAACAGAAAGTAAATATCTACGCATGACAAGTCATATATACATAAAAATCACTATATTCCATCAAGTATTTCAAGCTAGATTTCACCACTATAGCACACAACTCACCCTGGCGTCTGAGTCAAAATCCTATAAGAGAGGAACCAGGACGCAAGTCAGGATCGGCATAGTATCTGACGGCTATACTGAACTTAACACCGACGTCAGAGTCGGTCCTACTTAAACTTCATAGTCTGACATACAGTAGTGGGAAATTTACAGCAACACTTCATTACAAAACTCTCCCTCAAGATGGAAATTTCCTACTGATATCGTGAAAGAAACTGAGCAAACAACATATGAAATACTATCGACAGTACATAGGTCTAAAGCTACACAAACTCATTAACCTATCAACAGACAAGAATTCTTACAAACTACGGTAAACAAACTATTAACTAAACACTTCCACTCCTCTGAAATTACCCAACGGGGTATCGCGACAACATGTCAGCAAGGTAATTGTCTTTAACTTTTACATATTTAATACTAAAGGTATATTGTTGCAGCTCGAGAGCCCAACGCATAAGTCGTGAATTCCTATTCTTATTCTGTTGCAGCCACTGTAAAGGTGCATGATCCGTCTCTACTACAAACTTACTACCATACAAATAATCAGAAAACTTAGCAATGGCCCAACGAATGGCTAGACATTCCTTTTCTACCACAGAATAATTCAGCTCGGCACTGTTCAGCTTGCGACTTATAAACGAAATTGGCTTCGGATTACCCTGAATGTTCTGATACAAGACCCCACCTATACCACTGTCACATGCATCTGTTTGCAACACTAAGGGATGGCCTGATTTTGGTATCGTTAACGCAGCATCGTCTGAAACTAATTTTACAGCAACTCTAGAGGAAGGCTGACTTATGATCGGCAAATTAATTAGCGGCGCTCTAGGGGGTTTACTTGAAACTTTGGTTTGACAAATTTCGCATGACTGACAAAATCTTCTAACGTCGTCAAAACATCCTGGCCAATAGAAATGATTGAAAATCCTATCTTGGGTTTTACGCGTACCTAGATGACCCGACATCACAGTGTCATGAGCAAGTCTCATTACTTTCTGTCGAAATTGTGAAGGGAGTACAATTTGTTGCACAATATCCTTAGAATGCTTGTGGCGATTACATAATCTGACAAGTACACCATTTCGAGAAACAAAACGCGGATAACCATTAGAAATATCTCCACCTTTCCTGAAGCATTATTTTAATGAGGAATCTTCGCTCGGAAATCTTATCATATCTTCAGTTGAGATTTTATCAAGATCAAACTGTATAGGCATTAAACTAACCTTTGTAGGCATTGGCAACTTCGTTGGTGAATTCTCTTCTTTTCGCTGAGCTCTCGTTTGCACAGCACACGCTTGCTCACCAACAACTTCCTCGGTTGTAGCCCTCAACGTCGTCTTAGCTCCACAACTACTGATGTAGTTGTTGCTAGAATGAATGAGATGAATGAAGTGTTGCTGCAAATTTCCCACTATTGTATGTCAGACTATGAAGTTTAAGTAGGACCGACTCTGACGTCGGTGTTAGGTTCAGTATAGCCGTCAGATACTATGCCGATCCCGACTTGCGTCCTGGTTCCTCTCTTATAGGATTTTGACTCAGACGCCAGGGTGAGTTGCGTGCTATGGTGGTAAAATCTAGCTTGGAATACTTGATGGAATATCGTGATTTTTGTGTATATACGACTTGTCTGGCGTAGATATTTACTTTCTGTTTTCTGTTGTAGGATCGTGCGTTTTCTCAGATCTCAATGCTCCAGCTCTCTCCTCGCATTTTGCTCTCATCGCACTTTAACTTCCTCCGCATTTAACTTGTTAGTTCGTTCATATGCCGCACCTCTGTAAATCATTAGTGTTATTTGTTTATGTTTATTTGCCGTTTATCTTTAATAAATAAATTTAAGAAAGTCTGTTTGAGTAACTATCCGCTCAGTCCAAGCTCTTGCTGATAAAACCAATAGGGAAGTTGAATTTAATTTCCGGTCATTGGTGGACGTGACAATTAGACCATCCGAACTTTGAGGTGACGCGATTGATTAGCTATTATTCAAGACTAGTTCGTCACAAATATGTTTTTTAAAAGACATTTTATTGCCAAGGATTAAGCCTAAATAACGAAAATCGTCAACCCATTCTAAAATTGATCCATTAAAAGTGATGTTCCGCGGGGCGACAACAGGTCTAGACGTAAAAAGCATCAGTTTAGTTTTATCGGTGTGTGCCACTAATTTATTTACTAACAGCCATCTTGACAAGTCTGCTGAAAGATCCGAAATGCTATCACACGCTTCATCGTAGGTACCTTTCGAGATATAAAAAACGGCATCATCAGCAAAAAGCTTGCAGCTCGCATTAAATGAAGAGGCGATATCATTTATGGAAATATTAAAAAGAAGAGGCCCCAGAACAGAGCCCTGTGGTACTCCAATCGTGATTGGTCTTGAGGGCGATTTGTACTCGCACAATGAAACATATTGTTCCCTATTGGTTAGATATGACTTTATCAATGCATAAAAAGGCCCTCTAATGCCATAACGGTAGAGTTTGTTCATAACATAATTAATTTATTGAATAACATGAAACTTATGAAGATTATTTGGCAACAAAATTATCCAGTTGATTTTAAATAATGCGATCTATCAAATTATCTTATCATTCAGACAAATTTAGGACAACAGAAAAAACATAACTGTTGAATATGACCGTTGAATAAGTGCGTGTAAAGCCTTCAGTATTCCGTCCCCTCATCTGGTCCTTCAGTATTATAATAATGATGATATTCCTTTAAAAATTCGTTTTTCGTGGTCTTTAAAAAAAATTTTAATGACCACGTTTTTCATGTGGACTCAAAAGTAGAAAATAATTTTACGGCAGCTACTGATCTCTGTTTGCTTTCATTCTCTTGGTCTTTTGTATTTCAGTTAAAATATTTTACAACATCTAAAACAAAAAACGTGGGGCGCATCTTCATTTAGGCATATACGCAGTCTAAACACGAATATCCTCTCGAGGATGACGTGCATTAAAGGTTCCCAAACCCCTGCTTGTGAGTTCCTTTAGAGTTTATAACTACTGCAAAAAGGTCAACCATCCTACATAATATTCATTTTATTTCAGTTGGCCACGCAAATGCACGAAAGAAATTTCTTTTCGAAGTTCTGTAGAAAATTGTATACGAGGGGATACATTGTTGTTCCCGTATTTATCTGGGTGCGTGGCTGTAATAAAGAAAGGTTCGGTAATAAATACTCCTGGAAACGTGCAACAAATTATTGATTATTGTATTGTTATCGGGAGCTGAGCTTCCCTAAAAGTTTCAGAGCGCTAGCTAGCGGGAAAGTTGGTGAAATATCGATTGCAAGATTTGATCATCACAGACAGAGGGACACGAAAGCGAGCTAAGAAAAACGTGGTAATAAAAAATGCCACGCCTTCTCACCTACAGCGCGAGCTGACAGCGGCCGTAGCAGTGATACGCCCTGCTGCCGTGTCAAACTGGGTCAGAATGACCCATACATTCACAGGAGCAATTATTGCTTGCCGTAGCTATTGGGAAAAAATCTCACTTGATTCTCTACTTTAATATTGGTTGTTTATTGTTTAATAAATTGATGATAAGTAATTTCATAATTATATAAATATAGTTATAATCAATATATTTACGATTAGTTATGATTAGAATTTATAAATAAATACAATTATATAATATACATTTTATAATTATAAAAGATATGTTAATCGTGGTTATATTTCAGCGCCTGGGAGAGAAATTGATTGAAATATTGATTGGTGTTTGAAAAATTGGATTCATATCTGATGAATCGATTTCTTATTTAATTAATTTGTCTTTCCCTTAGTTTGATTCTATACATTTTCCCCCCCCTTAGCTTTAAAACATTCTTCTAGCTTTCATTGCAAAGGATCAAAAGGAAAATTTAAACTATCCATCTGAAATTGAACAACTATATATATATATTTGTTTGTGTGTTTATCGTTATATTGATTCAACATCAGCGCGATTTTTAATAAAATATCACAGAAAAGTTTTCTCTGCAAGAAGAAAATTAATTTGCCATGAAAACGATAGCTAAATGGGGGGTCTTTATTAAATTACACTCAAAGAAATGAACAGAAATTTATCGCAGTAACGACGCACTCTTTGGCCTTGTATGGCTCATCCTGACCCAGTTTAGCCGGCAAAAAGGCGCATGTGTGCTTTGATCATTTTTTGCTCGCACTGTTGGTATGAAATGTGTCACTTATTGGACAATGTGACCCATTTTTTGATCTGAGTTTGGATCTGAATGAGTCTTTATTTAATTTCCATGAATTCACGCAAGAAAAAAATTACGATGTTGTTTTGACAACAGGAAACACACTCAAAAAAATGAATGAGCCACACTGTAGAGAAAGTGACACACTTTCTTACCCACATCACGAGCTGAGAGCGGTCGTAGCACTGATACGCTCTTTTCCAGAGACAAACTGGATCAGGATGACCCAAGCAGGGGCAAAAAGTGCACTGCTGTTTTGGACAAAATCTCACACATTTCTCTGAGTGCATACTCGTTAGTGTCTGGGATCACGATCCCTGCAATTAATCCTTACGCCGTTTTGACGTCTTGTTCAACCCCTGGTGTTATACACATGACATTTTTGCTGAAAATATTCGAAAAGTTTCATAATTTATGTGGAAATTTTTTGGTGTCAATCATCACCAGTAGCGTCATCAGGCCTATTTTACTTGGTTTTAGCCCCTTTAAAATATTAATAGGCCATCTTATATATACTACTTCTATGTTCGATTACTAAAATTTATATAACTCGCTACTATAAATGCTAACAAATTTAATATTGCCTGAATGTATGTTTTAATAAACACTCAATCCGTTATTATTAATTAAATATGATCATCAGACTAATGGGGCACCGCCCCCCTGTCCGTAAACATAGCGACGCACTAGTTCATCACTACGTCGATAATGGAGCATACATGAAATTGTGAAAAGTTATAACTATTTTTAAAGTTTTACAAAAAAGCTTAGCAACGCTCAATGTAACCTACTCATTTTAATTTTTACCCATTATTATTGAATTTATATTTAACCTCAGCCAATCCTATTCTAATAGAGCAATGGGTTGGTTGGCATTCTCTGTTCAGTTATCAGAGTTTTAGGAATATAATAATTGTTACATGTACAGGGTGAACCAGAATTAACTGACCCTTTTAATTTGTTAATAAATAAAAAACTAAGAACGTTATGAAGTCGAAACTTGTTTTATTTAAAAGAAGAACATTTTTATGGTAATATTGTATCCTAGTTAAAATATTGTATCCTATTACAATATTTTATTATTGTATTAGTTAAAATATTTATTATGTATTAATAATATGTATTAGTTAAAATATTGTATGTAATATTGTATCCTAGTTAGTTATTGTATCCTAAAAACTAGGATACAATAATATTACCATAAAAATGTTCTTCTTTTAAATAAAACAAGTTTCAACTTCATAAGGTTCTTAGTTTTTTATTTATTAACAAATTAAAAGGGTAAGTTAATTCTGGTTCACCCTGTATGTCATGTAGAAGTGTATTCGTTTTGTGCTTAAAAGTTAACTGATGGGAGTTATGCCATGTTTTAGGAATTTTCAGGTCGACTCAGCTTAGGGGCTACAGTAGTTATAATCATCATGCTGAACGCCACTAATGGTTTAGATTCTCATTAATAGGAGTGCAAACCTTATTATTATTTATGTCATAATGCAAACCTCATGTGTAGTTAGATGTTCAGGTTTATTTTATTGAGTAAATTAGATAAAATTGAAATGTTGTCATGAATTAACTTGGTATGTATATAAATCTTGTTGCTAAATTCCGGTTTGGGTTTCTTATTGAATTGAATCATCGAAAACGCGCCAGTTAATCTTGATATAGAATCTTATTGTGATAGTGATTCATGATCCTGCTGACCAATCTGAACATTCAATTGAGTGAACCAGTGATAACCAATTTATATCCTGCGAGTTAAGTTTGCAGTGCATTCAACTAACGTAAATGTTTTGTTCTCAGGTCTCATTTGGATACATTCTTTACATTATCTCGTGCGTACACATCACAATTGACATTGCCTTGTCTGTACACATAATCTCGTCTGTACATTATCTAACTAGTACGCATTTACTCGCAGTGTTTCCTTGTCTCACTACCAGAATAAACCAGAGAATTTAGGTTCCCCTTTTTTATTTTCCCTGCATCTCAGTAGCAGGCCATACAACCCTTAACTTCCAAAAGACTAATAAAATATGCACAAGATAAAGCCCATCAAAAATGCTACTAAATGCATATTAATATACCAACAATTGTATAAGGATTCAACGGAGCGTGCTGTATTAAATGTCATTCATGTGGCTCACGTCAGGTGTGTTGTTGCAAACTAAACACTTTCAAGGTGAA